AACAGGCAGGCCTCCCTGTGGATGGGTCATTTGGACTTATGTGGAATCTTTAATCATTTGATTTTTGGGTTTCCAGATCCCCCTGGCCACTGGCGAGGATGGGGGGGTCCTAGGGTTACCAGATCCAGGTTGGGAAACTCCTGGAGACTTGGGGATGGAGCCTGGGGAGGACTGGGACCTCGGTGGGGTACAATGCCATAGAGTCCACTCTCCAAAGCATCCATTTTTATCCAGGGGATCTCTGTAATCTGGAGATAAGCATAATTCTGGAGGTTCTCCAGGGCCCACCTGGAGGCTGGCATCCCCTAGCCACACCTTTTGGAAATTATTGATCTAAATATTAGCAGAGGTTGACCAATGTTATCTTTAAACACAGCAGGCAGTGAACCGCACTATACAAATACTTCCAAGCTTCTTGGAATGAGAAAAGATCACGTTCACTGACTTAAATCAACAAGGAATCTACTTGCAAACAACACTGACAGCAAGATTGTGTGTGTCCTTCCCAAGCAATTAGTACACCTCGGTAAATTAGATAAGACAAGCTTGAGTTACTGTTTGCCGATTTAAACCACATTATTCTTTATAAACATCCTGGATTATACAACACACATTAGATAACCTTTTCTGAAAAGCAGACTCACAACAGGTTTCCACCGTAACGTTATCCATAGTCAGGCTTGGGTTAGTACCTGCAGGCAGAAACTGAGCTGTTTTGGTGACCACTGCATCCTACACCCAAGATGCATGCTTTGTTCTGAAAAGCTATACCTCTTCTGAAAACCTTTTGCTGAAAAGAGAAACCAAGAATTATGTTTCACGTTTTGCTTACTTTGTAATGCTGATCATAGACATCTCTTTAAACTGTCAAGACAGAACCAGAAGACCCAGATTTGTGTAAAGGAGAGGCGGGTCGAACAATTATGCCATGAAGGATTGATTGTGATGAGCCCAAAACCATCCACGAATCTTGGCTGAATAAAGATTTGGACTCAAGGCTTCTCAAGCCCAAAGAGAAAATGCTATCCTTCCCCCAAACTCGCTTGCAGAATTACAATAGCCAGATTCCTTGATTCTCAAACCTTCAGACATGGGGGTGGAGTCTAAAAGCATAGGGGTGGAGCCTGTCAGAAGAGGGGAGGTAGGTTGGCAACCCAAGTCATCAGGAGGTCAGTTGTGATTCCAGGAGATCTCCAGGCCCCACCTGGAGGCTGGCAACCCTGTGTATGTGCATGTGTGTGCTCGTGTGCGTGTGCGTGTGTGTGTAAATACCGATGTGCATGTGTGTGCTCGTGTGCGTGTGTGTGTGTAAATACTGGAAAATTACTGGGAAAGATCTCTTGCACAGGGAACGCTTTCTTTTTGTCCCAACGTGAGTTTTAACACGAACACATGACATGAGTGTGAGTGTGAGGAAATAAAACCAGTGGACTACTTGGAAGAATGACCTTGTTCCTCTTCCTCTGTTCACACACCTGCTTAAAGTTTAACTGGACCCCCCCTTCCTCAGGACAGCCGTCTAAAGTCAGAACAAGTATGACCGTAGGGCCTTTCTTTGTCGAATGGAAGCACGAGGGCCCGCCAAGCTGGAGATTTGCCATTCCCAGGCATTGCAGACTCAGGCATTCTTGGTCATTTTCCTCTCTCCTCCTCAGCCACACATTTGAGGTGTTTGTTCTGTCACAGTTCACAGGGAAGAAAACACCAGAAGCTCTGTGACCTTCCAAGAAGGTGTTTTAATAAAGCTTATGGTGGTGGGACGTGCCGTCAAGTCGCAGCTGACTTCTGGCGACCCCACTTTGGATTTCTCAAGGCAGGAGACATTCAGAGGTGGTTTGCCATTGCCTGCCTCTGCACTGCAAACCTGGACTTCCTTAAGAGGTCTCCCATCCAAATACTAGCCAAGGCAGACCCAGCTTAGCTTCCGAGACCTGATGAGATCGGGCTAGCCTGGGCTAGCCAGGTCATGGCATTAAGAACATAAGAACATGGCCTGTTGGATCAGGCCAAAGGCCCATCTAGTCCAACACTCTGTGTCACGCAGTGGCCAGAAATACCAGGTGCCATCAGGAGGTCCACCAGTGGGGCCAGGACATTAGAAGCCCTTCCACTGTTGAACCCCTCCCCCCAAGCACCAAGAAGACAGAGCATCACTTGCCCCAGAGCCCCTATCTATACCTTGTGGCTAATAGCCACTGATGGACCTCTGCTCCATATGCTTATCTAATTCCCTTTTGAAGCCGTCCATGCTTGTAGCCACCACCACTTCCTGTGGCAGTGAATTCCAAGTGTTAATCACTCTTTGGGTGAAGAAGTACTTCCTTTTATCCGTTCTAACCCGAGCACTCAGCAATTTCATGGAGTGCCCACGAGTTCTTGTATTGTGAGAAAGGGAGAAAAGTACCTCTTTCTCTACCTGCTCTATCCCATGCATAATCTTATAAACCTCAATCATGTCTCCCCTCAGTCGTCGTTTCTCCAAGCTAAAGAGCCCTAAGTGCTTTAACCTTTCCTCATAGGGGAAGTGTTCCAACCCTTTTAAAAACCTTAGGACTGTTATGTTTTTGTTTTTTAGTTAAGAAAACATTCTTTGGATTTTTCAAGCTCACACCATGTTCCAATGCAGCATGGAGGGATTCTGAAAAATGAATGGACCTTTGTATGAAAGAAGGTTGTCCCATTCTCTTTAATGCTGAAGAATGCAGCAAAAGTTTAATAACTTCCAAAGTTTATTGTAGCTATTGTATTATTATACTTTCTACCCTCTAGGAAGCTCAGAGTAACTGGTGTACATTGGGTATATTGTTATTCTACATTTGCAACCAAACATAAGACATGGGTTACTTATTTACCGGAAGTGCCTTACATCATTCTCCCCTTTCATTTTATCCTCACAAGAACCCTGTGGGGTAGATCAGGTGGAGTGTGTATGTCTGGTCCAAGATCACCCAGCAAACTTCGATGGCAGAGTGGGGATTTGAACCCAGGTCGCAAAGGTCCTCGGCCAATCCTCTAACTACTACACCACACTGATTAGGCTGCAATAGTATGAGCAGAACATAAGAACATAAGTAGAGCTTGCGGGATCAGAGCAATGGTCCACAAAGCCAAGCGGGCAATAGAGTCGCACTGTACTAAATGATTCACAAATTTATTTGGATCGATCGTTAGTGACTGTGGTCTATACTTCTGTGTTTAGCCTGCTGAAACTAGAATCCTGCTCTGTAATTTCTGCATCGCGTGATGTGTCAGGTTAAAGCTTATGGTTTGCTTCAGTTCTGTTTTTAGATTTCTGGTTGGTTCTGCAACCCTAATTCCTATTGCCGTGTTCTTTGAAAGTCCCATCCTGCCGACTGTATTGACTCAATCTGTCTAAGTAAGAAAGGCAGGCTATAAAGAATGTAAATATATAAAATAGTTAAATAGTTAAAAAACAAGAACAGTTGCCCTGGAGGGCCAAGCAAACGGGGCACAGAGGCCAAGGTCTTCCCCAGATCCAACTGGGTTTCAAAGCACTGGGTTTCAAAGGTTTACAGCCACTGTAAAACCTCTATACCACTCTTTAATGTATTGCCATCTTCCAAAGCTCCTATTTTGCTATAGGGGGAAGCCATCCATGTGCTTGCATATTTATTTATTTATTTATTTATTTATTTATTTATTTATTTATTTATTTATTTATATTTCTTGGCCATCCTTCCATGCTCAGGGCGGTTTACAACAACATAAAATCCAATACAGTTTTAAAACCAGTGAAAAGTACAGAATTCAATTTCAAAACATTCAGCATAGATCTTTAAACACTTTAACGAGATGGCATGATTAGCATTCAGATTTTCATGAGGGGGAGGGGAGGGTGCCGGGCAGATGTGGAGAAACCTTCGCTGGCCTCCACCAAAGGGCTGGCGGAATTACAATAGACACATCTCTGCCTTGCATGCCCTGTGGAACGTTAGTAGATCAGACAGGGCACGGATGTCTTTCGGCAGAGAGTTCCACCAGACTGGGGCCAGGGCTGAGAAAGCCCTGGCCCTGGTCAAGGGCAGCCGGCAGGCTTGTAGCTAACGTGGGGCCCACGGGGCCCGGCCCCCTAACGTGTCTTCCAGGGCCCCCAAACTGAGCCTTGGCTTCTCCTCCCCCTGAGCTCCACAGTGCTACGTGCCTGTAGCTACGTGCCTGTCAGTGAAACGGGGGCTGCATGGGATTGCAGGGAAGTCATTGTGCGGGACAAGGCACAGGATCCCAGCTGTGCACTCCACAGCTCTGAAGTACACTGGTTTGCAGTTAGTCGATCAGCCCCATCTGAACCAGCACAGTCCAGGGTGGGGAGGAAAGAATGTTCATAGCTCCATACAGAGATATAATGGCTAGCCCCCTGAGCAAAAAATTGCCCCCCTCCCAGCAAAAGGTTGCTAGCTACGGGGCTGGCAGCCGAATATCTTTGAGGCCAGAAATCACCAGGAGATTCTTATCTGCTGATCTCAATGCCCTTCGGGCATTTCTCCCCCTAAGTGACAAAAATGCTATTTCAGGATACAGGGGAACAGGGAGGAACAGGGTAAACAAACAAACATGTCCAAGCCAGTCTCTGATCTTCTTTCATTGATTCTAGCTTGCCATCAAAACAGTGTTAGTTGAATCCCAAATCCACTCCCTTCATTGTAAGTGTGATAGTCAGGTAGAGTACAGACAATCCCTAGCTCTGTGAACTTTGTGTGACCTTTTCATGACTTTTACTTTCTTCTGCCCTCAAGTGCCAGATAAATCATTCCTACTTAGCTACTGTACACAACAGTCATGAGGTTACATTTTTCAGACGGTACAAAGTTAAGTACCACTATGGAATTCTCCCTTAGGCAGGTGCACCTTTATTTCTCCATGCATCCATTGGAATCCCTTCCAAAAGGGCCAGATTTAAGAAAAGAACAGAACAACACACTATTAGCAGCTCTAATGTTCATTCAATGTTCTTTTCTTTTCACCCAGAGCGGCTGGTGGGAATGTTTAAATACTTCCGGAACCATTTTGTCAGTCACTTCACGGAATGCAAAAGACGAAGGTCACGGCTGGTGTCTAAAGATGGGAGATGTAACATAGAGTTTGGGAATGTTGAAGAACAGTCAAGGTTTGTTTTCTTGGCTGACATCTGGACCACCATCCTGGACCTCAGATGGAGGTACAAGATGACCATCTTCATTTCAGCATTCTTAGGCAGCTGGTTTCTTTTTAGCCTACTGTGGTACATAGTGGCATACGTACATCAAGATCTGCCAGAGTTCAACCCCTCTGCAAATCACACCCCATGTGTTGACAACATCAATGGCTTGACTTCTGCCTTTCTTTTCTCCCTGGAGACCCAAGTCACTATAGGCTACGGTTTCAGGTGTGTTACAGAACAATGTGCAATGGCAATTTTCCTACTGATCTTCCAATCGATCTTAGGAGTCATCATAAACTCTTTCATGTGTGGCGCTATCTTGGCCAAGATCTCCAGGCCCAAAAAGAGAGCGAAAACCATCACCTTCAGTAAGAACGCTGTTATCAGCAAGCGAGGTGGGAAACTGTGCCTTCTCATCAGGGTGGCCAACCTCAGGAAGAGCCTTTTGATCGGCAGCCACATCTATGGCAAGTTGCTGAGGACCACTGTCACACCAGAAGGAGAGACGATCATCTTAGATCAAGTCAGTGTGGACTTTGTGGTCGATACTGGCAATGAGAACTTGTTCTTCATCTCCCCCTTGACAATCTATCACATCATCGACAAGAAAAGCCCCTTCTTTCACATGGCAGCAGACACAATCCTTCAACAGGAGTTTGAGTTGGTGGTGTTCCTAGATGGAACTGTGGAATCTACCAGCGCCACCTGTCAAGTCAGGACGTCCTACATCGCAGAGGAGGTACTGTGGGGCTATCGTTTTGCACCGATTGTCTCCAAGACCAAAGAAGGGAAGTATAGAGTGGATTTCCACAATTTCAGCAAAACGGTGGAAGTGGAAACTCCCCACTGTGCCTTTTGCCTCTACAATGAGAAAGACGCCAAAGCCAAGATAGGATATGATAACCTTGGGTTCCAGCTTCAAGAGGTCAACGAAACCATTAATACAAAAATGTAACTTTGGGTGTAGGTGAGACTGGAGTACTCTTGGATGTAGCTAGGGTGCCATGCTGAAATACTTATGAACATGATGAGCAGAACGAAGAAGAGTGGGGTTGTTTGGGGTACCAAAGGAGTTCTCCTAATCAAATGAAAACAGGATACCAAAGCAGCCATTTCCTGAATGTCTCTGAACTACATCATGTTTATTTTCACATAATATATATTTTTATAGATACATTTGTGGGATTGTTACTTAAACCAGTTGACTGATATAGAGAAAACATTATTCTTTAAAGCAAAAGAAGAATCTAGATATGTAGGAACTAGTTTTGATAACATGCTAATGAAGAAGAAACTATATGCAGCAGTAATGAAGAAGGAAAATTCAGTATTAGGAACTATTATGTGATAGACTGAATTGCTTTTTTAAAAAAAAAATCACAATACCTTTATGTAAATGGATGCTGTGTTCACCTTAAGGATGCCACGTACAAGTGTTATGGCTGGCGTCAAATGGGATATTTGACAGCCAGTGTGGTGTCGTGGCTAAAGTGTTGGATTGGTTGGGGTCTGACAGAGATCCAGGTTCAAATCTGTGCTCTGCCATGAAGCTTGCTGGTCGATGGTTGGCCCACTGGCCAGCTGCTGTTTCATAGTCAAACCCACCTTGCAGGGTTGTTGTAAGGATAACATGGGTAAAGGAGAGACATTCCTTGGAGGAAAGGTGACATAAAAATGTAACAGAGAAAAAAAGATATCATGGGACCAGGAAAGGGACTAGACCAAGGAGCTGGAACACATTTTCTGTGCAAAACGGCTAAAGAATACAAGGCTTTTAGTGCAGAAAAATATGTACAAGGTGGAACATCATACAGGTTTGTGAAAGTATGAACGGTGTGGGAAAACACAGAACTTTCTGAATACTAGCCAAGGGTGTGTTTCGATGCTAAAGGAAATGATCACAAATATCACCACTGCTTGCTACAGCCAGTTTCTGCTTTGTTGGGCCAAAGTTCAAGCGATGCCATCTCCAAGTCATGCAGTTCAGTCATACCATGAATGAGGAACTTTTCTGTCTGGGACCTTCTCACACACTGCAAGGTGCCAACAGGAGTTTTGAACCAGAAGAAGATGAAGAGTAGGTTTTCATACCCCACTTTTCTCTACCTTAAGGAGTCTCAAAGCAGCTTACAATCCCCTTCCCTTTCTCTCCCCACAGCAAGCACCTTGTGAGGCAGGTGGGGCTGAGAGAGTTCTGAGGGAACTGTGACTGGCCCAAGGTCACCCAGCTGGCTTCATGTGGAGGAGTGGGGAATTGAACCCGGTTCTCCCGATTAGGGTCCATTGCTCTTAACTGCTACACCAAGCTGACTCTCAAGAGATCCAGGGATCCCAGCAGCTGGGCACTAGTGACTTATTGGCTGCACCACTGGCAGTCTGTAGGCACTACAACTCTGGCAAACTAAGATCTAAGTTTCAGGGGCCCTCTATGCTATACCAACTCTCTGTGACACATGTGCACATACATGCACACTCAGCTATCCATGTACAGAGAGGCATGTGGGCTCATTCTTTCATGTACACACAAATCCTTCTCAGTCATCAGCAGTTTGGGTGGTCTACAAAAGACTATGGAAACCCACAGGGGACAAATGTGATGTTATGATGAACTCCATCTTATCTGAAACTCCAGGAACATCACTTCAAAGATCTCCGTCTTCTCCAAGGTTAGCCCTAACTGAAAAATACCATTCAAGGCCCACATTCCAGACTATGCAAAACTGCAATTCTATTGGGATTTGTGCAGGTAAGGAGGAGGCAGGCATCTTTGTGGTAGGTGGCCTGTAGATCTGAGGCCAGGGTTGCTGACTAGACAGAAGAGGAAAAATGCAAGTTCCTTTAATAGAGGCCCACTGGGACATGATTTACCAAGATATGTTTCTTACCTGCATGGCATGAAAAACTTCATATGTCCATTAACACACATCCAACTTCTGTTCAAGGGACAGGGCATTTTTCTCCAGCTGGCCACCATACTGGGGACCCAACCTTAATTCCAGGTGGCAGCATGGCACCAAGTGTGCAGCAAGCACATAGCAGGAAGTCACAATCATGTGACAGGAATGAAGATGCTCCGAACTTGCCTGTATACCATTCAAGGCCCACATTCCAGACTAAGCAAAACTGCAATTCTATCAGGATTTGTGTAGGTAAGGAGGAGGCAGGCATCTTTGTGTTAGGTGGCCTGTAGACCTGAGGCCAGGGTTACTGACTATGAAGAGGAAAAATGCACGTTCCTTTAATAGAGGCCCACTGGGACATGATTTACCAAGATATGTTTCTTACCTGCATGACATGAAAAACTTCATATGTCCATTAACACACATCCAACTTCTGTTCAAGGGACAGGGCATTTTTCTCCAGCTGGCCACCATACTGGGGACCCAACCTTAATTCCAGGTGGCAGCATGGCACCAAGTGTGCAGCAAGCACATAGCAGGAAGTCACAATCATGTGACAGGAATGAAGATGCTCCGAACTTGCCTGTGCTAAAACCAGGGGTCATTTCGTAGAAAAAGAGCTAGGGGAACTCATTAGCATAACTCATTAGCATATGCCACACCCCCTGATAAGGCCACACCCCCTGACATCACCGGAAGTGTGTCATAAGGCCACCCACCACACCCCCAACAGTCCCGGCCGCCACCGCCGGCCTTGCAGCTCCACTGCCGAGCCCCATGAGGGGCCCGGCGGTGGACCTGCGCAGGGGGCGGGGCTTCGTCATGTGCCCCGCCCCCGTACCTCACCCGGGGGAACTGCAATCCCCCGCGTTCCCCCCCGAAATGACCTCTGGCTAAAACAGAACCCTTTCCATGGCTGCTGTTGCTCTTCTGAGCATGCATGCAAAGAGTCAGGAGGTATGGAGCTGTCCCTCTCTTTGTATGCACAGCAGCAGCAGATCCTTCCCCAAACCAGCAAAACTGGCAGCTCTAGAGCTAGGTGTTCATCATGACAAATAGGGCGAAGGGCACTGCATCGGATTCCTTCCTTTGGATGCCTTCCTTTGGAGCCCTGCTCCGATGTCCCCCCCCCCGACTGAAGCCAACAAGCAAATCTTCTTCCTAAATATATAAAAATTGCGGATTTTGTCAGGATGTTGAGAAGGAAAGCAGAATTAAAACCAAGAGAGCGGCATTCAAAACGTGTGGGGGGAAGGGCAGGGATGCAAATGGTTGCATCGTCCGACAGGAAGGGAAGAGCCGCTGTGCTGCAATTCAGGCTTCATCATGTGCCCCGCCCCTCGTACCTCACCCGGGGGAACTGTGATCCCCCACGATACCCCCCGAAATGACCTCTGGCTAAAACAGAACCCTTTCCATGGCTGCTGTTGCTCTTCTGAGCATGCATGCAAAGAGTCAGGAGATATGGAGCTGTTCCTCTCTTTGTATGCACAGCAGCAGCAGGTCCTTCCCAAAACCAGCAAAACTGGCAGCTCTAGAGCTAGGTATTCATCATGATAAATAGGACGAAGGGCACTGCATCGGATTCCTTCCTTTGGATGCCTTCTTTTGGAGCCCTGCTCCGATGTTTTTCCCCCGACTGAAGCCCACAAGCAAATCTTCTTCCTAAATATATACAAATTGCGGATTTTGTCAGGATGTTGAGAAGGAAAGCAGAATTAAAACCAAGAGAGCGGCATTCAAAACGTGTGGGGGGAAGGGCAGGGATGCAAATGGTTGCATCGTCCGACAGGAAGGGAAGAGCCGCTGTGCTGCAATTCAGTCAGGACCACTAGCTCAAGTTTTGCGTACTTAGTCTATCTCACACATGTAGCTAGGGAGTGGGATGCCAGCCTCCAGGTGGGACCAGGGGATCCCCTGGAAATAGAGGTCATCTCATTTAAACCCCTGTGTTCCGCTCTATCCACGGACCACGATAAACCACCACAAACTGCTTTAAAAGTTGGTGGAAGTTTATGACGGTAGACCCATCACAAACTTCAGTTCACAAACCACGAGCAAGGCAGAATTCGTGATGAATTTTGCTTCATGGTTCAGTTCGTGCCCATCCCTAAGAAAGAGTGGCCATGAATGGAGCAGAAGTCCATCAGTGGCTATTAGCCACAAGGTATAGATAGGGACTCTGGGGCAAGTGATGCTCTGTCATCTTGGTGCTTGGGAGGGTCAACAGTGGGAGGGCTTCTAATGTCCTGGCCCCACTGGTGGACCTCCTGATGGTACTGGTATTTCTGGCCACTGTGTGATACAGAGTGTTGGACTGGATGGGCCTTTGGCCTGATCCAACATTGGCATCTCTTATGTTCTTATGAATGCTCTAGCTAGCCCTGCCCTCCCCACCTCATGCAATCACTGAGTCATCTGCGTAGAGCGAATGTGTAGAGGAGACATCTGCACACGTACTCCCTTCCTATTGTCAGCAACAGTGATTTCCAAATATTGCTGATCATGGAGAAAGGTATATGCTACAGACACATCCTCCAGGCATTTGCAACATAGAGAACATTCAGCAGTTGGCGGAGGCAGGGCCGACACTCTTGTACCTGTTCTCCCTCCCCACGTGGAGAGTTGACTTGTGGAAGGGTTGTGTGTACAGGGCTATGTACAGTCTGTGCACATCGTATGCTTCATTTTCCTTCCTATGTACATTGAATAATGCTCATGTTATATTCAACCTATGTTCAGCTAAATGTGAAATTGAAATCCCATGTTTATCTAGGTACTGGTCCTTGCTTTCATTGGTAAAGTGAACATGCTTAGGCTTTTTCTTACAAATATATGGGCGTACATGCAGGGTATACATGTGTTCATTGTAATGTGAACAGTAGGGTTTCCAGGTCCCCCCTGGCCACTGGTGGGGGATGGGGGGTTTAGGGTGGCCAGTTCCAGGTTGGGAAACACCTGGAGATCTGGGGATGGAGCCTGGGAAGGACAGGGACCTCAGTGGGGTACCATGCCATAGAGTCCGCCCTCCAAAGCATCCATTTTCTCCAGGAGA